TCCCGGATATGGGCACATCAACCAGCGAGATTTTTTGGACAGTTGCAGTTGTGCACTCGAGAGCTGCGGAGGGGCTCTCGATAATTCAAGCAGCTGTGTGCGAAGAAGTTTGAACCTGCAGGCATTCAGACACTTGGAGATCGTACCTTTGGCAAGGCAGAGTTCTCGAAAAGGTTGGTTTCCTGACGTGGCGGCCGCTCCCAATATAGTCACCGCTCCGCGGCTGCACGTCAGGGTCAACAGCAACAATTAAGTAGGCGGCTCTCTTGGGTGTGGGGCCTAAGTACAGCTGTAGAAATGATTGAGCGAGTTCAGAGCGTGTGTTTTGTTCAGTATAGGCTGCAGAAGGGAGGGAGAGAGAGCCAGCCATCCGCTGCAAGTGGCTCCCCACCCCTGCCCCGTTTTGCTTCCGCTGCACGGTTCAGTTCCCACCCGGGAGCGCGAGATTTTTTGGACAGTTGCAGTTGTGCACTCGAGAGCTGCGGAGGGGCTCTCGATAATTCAAGCAGCTGTGTGCGAAGAAGTTTGAACCTGCAGGCATTCAGACACTTTGAGATCGTACCTCTGGCAAGGCAGAGTTCTCGAAAAGGTTGGTTTCCTGACGTGGCGGCCGCTCCCAATATAGTCACCGCTCCGCGGCTGCACGTCAGGGTCAACAGCAACAATTAAGTAGGCGGCTCTCTTGGGTGTGGGGCCTAAGTACAGCTGTAGAAAATAACTATATGTATGTATATAATATATATATATATAGATAATATATATATTAGATATATATACCATGTATAGCCTATAACGGATATGTTATGTTTATGTGTAGGCATATACAAGTATACGTATGTATATCCTGGTCTACACGCATACGGGTATCCGAGGCGTCACGGCCGCCACCCTGCGAACGAGGCGTCACGGCCGCCACCCTACGAACGAGGCGTCACGGCCGCCACCCTGCGAACGAGGCGTCACGGCCGCCACCCTTCGAACTAGGCGTCACGGCCGCCACCCTGCGAACGAGGCGTCACGGCCGCCACCCTGCGAACGAGGCGTCACGGCCGCCACCCTGCGAGCGAGGCGTCACGGCCGCCACCCTGCGAACGATCGGCACAAATGGGAGAGGGTGCCCAACTCCACCTCCCCTGGCCACCTGCTAATGCCAACGGGCCTGTAGGGGTGCCGGGGGGCGTCGCCCCCCGCGCTTTCGGGTGGGCTCGTTTGGGGGGACGGGGCGGACTTAAATCCTCAACTCCTCCGCCGCCAGAGGCGGGAGCAAGCAGGCGGCCACGGGGGGAGGTGAGGCTGCGCGGCGGCGCGCGCGGGCCTTCGCCTTGTATATGCCGACGGCGTAAGAGGCAGGGGAGGAGGAGAAGAGGAAGGCCCGAAGCAGCAGCAGCAGTTGCAATGTGGTTGTCGAGAGCTTCCGTGCTTTCTTTTGCGTGAACTATCGGCCGCTTGTTGTGATTTGCCGCATGGTTTCCCCCTTTCTCCTCGTCGTCCTCGTCGTCCTCATCCTCCTCGTTCCTCCCCCGTCCACCTCCTCCTCCCCCTCCTCCTTCTCCATCTTACGTATGATATCGTTTACCCTTTCGGGGTTGACCCTTTAGTGGCTATACTGGCCGATTTTGTTGTGTGATTTTCGATCGCCCTCTCTATACATATATATATAGTATTTGCATGTTTGCCTATTCCCCGAATTTGTTGGTCAATATGGGTATGTGTGTTGCGCCCTGTCTATGTGCGTCTGTGCAAAGGCCCTGCGCTCGACGAAGCAACTGCTGGATTCTTTCGTGTCAGCGCTACGACAGTCCACGCAACTGAGCAAGCAATTGCCACCACCTTGTGCCAGCAAGGATGGCATAACGCAGCAGGTCCATGGCAGCTGCTGTCATGCCATGGCATCGGGATATGATACGCTTCATTCTACCAACCATGTCCTCATCCGAATAACATTGTGTCTTGCGGGGGTTTGCTTGGGGAGCGAAGTCCAGTGCCATGTGCAACACCATATGTGCTTTGGGGGTGATGTGCCACGTCCACTTATCATGTATCACTGCCTCGGTCGCCAGGGCGTTCAGACAAGCCAAGAAGTCTTCAGTGGCCTCTTGCGCGCGAATCAAATCAGCAGCAGGAATAATTCGCTCATTGTCACGATAAACGTTTTCAAACGTCACTGCGCTGTGCAGCAGTGCCAGCCTGAGCTCGCCGTGATCTCCTACCGAAACCCCGGGGCGGAGGCATACGTCATAGAGCCACCGAACCAGCTGCAACGTCTGAGCACCTTTTGCCATCTGCTGTGTAAGCTTCACCCAGTCACCACGAGGGAAAAACTTTTTTTCTTCGAATCTCGGACATGCTTGAATGCCTTTGGCTCTGCACCACGCCTTATGGTCAGCATGAGCCATATAGAACCTCTCCGATCGATTGTTTCCGGCCCAGGTTCCCTCCAGAACGAGTTCCCTCAAACACGATGCGACTACAATTTGGTAAACGCCGAGATCCAAAGCGCGCAGAGGGTCAACCCAAACCCTCCACACATGGAAACCAGGAATTCGGAGCAAAGGGGAAGGGCTGCCATAGGCCCGTTGCTCTCTCATGAAATTCCGATTCGTCATGAGGGTGTTGCGCAGACGGGAGCGAGATGAAAATTGAGTGAACAGCAGACGGCCTGTCCGCTTATGAGCTTTGTATAGGTGGCAGCATTCATTGGTATTGTAATGCCTGGCCAACTTCAAACTTTCTTGCAAGTATTTCCAATCTCCTCGCATCTCCGACCACACTCCCCGGTATCCCCCTGCCAAGGGCTTGCCAGCTAGAGCTGCCCGCCCTGGCTCGTATTCTGCATTGAACTGTCTGCCTCGATGGTCCACGGGGGGGTTTTCACCGATCGCGAGCCATTCTAGGCTCCACACGAGAACCTCATAAATTTGGTCCAATGTCTTATCTGGAACGATCTTCGAATACTGCACCTCCGTGAAAACGATTCTAGAAAGGATAGTCTCATGGTTTTCAATCGTCCCGCCCCACAGAAGCATGAGAATCTTTTCGTGGTTGAAAACTCCTGCGTCGTCTCCGTAGATACCAATGGGCACACAGCTGGTCGGAGACGTTCGAATATCTAAAACAGGGTGCTCTTGATACCACGGAGTGGTCCTCGAGGATGGGTTCCCAACTATGTTCTCCCACTCCCCCTCTTTCCTGAGCTCCTGTCATGCCTCCTTCCTCACTCCCTCCTTTCTCCACTCCCCCTTGATCCGCGAGACGCGAATGTTTAGAAGAACCCGTCCTCGAGTGCTGCCAGAAAGCTTCTAATCGGCCAGGCCCCCCAACGAACATGTGGTTGAAAAGATCCACCTGCTTGTGCAAACTCGCGAACGTCTCATGAGGTAAAAAGGCATGGTGCGTACGAACTGTTTCATGAACGCCATCACTGGAAGCAGCAACTTGAAACTCAAAAACCTGCGGGAGCAACTCGCGCCAGGGTTGTCTTGATACCCATCTGTGCAGCGCTCGCTCAGCGTGCCGATCTGGCGGGATCGTCGCGAGCTGCTGCACGTGCAAAGGAACTCCAGTGCAACGATCTGCAATTGCTGAGCACAATCGGGCAAAACGTTGAACTGATGAAACTCTTTCCCCGATGAGACTGAGAAGCTCCATCTCGAGCTCGTCGGGCGAGCCCTCAAAGGCCATGGCTTCAATTACATGGGAACTGGCCGAAAGAAAGTGGTTGGGATAATCACACGCAAATATCACCGAGCCTAGACGAGCTGATTCAAATGATAATTCATGTGTTGTAAATAGGCATGCACATTTTTATGCATATATATATATATATATATATATATATATGCATATATAGATATAGGAATATGTACACATACATTTATTTATATATATATATATATGTATGCATAATCCTCCTCACCCTACTCCATGTTTCTCTCACCCTGACTCTCAACTCACCCCTCTTGCATTAGCATGTGGTGCCTTGTCCCGGGTGAGTGGGGGGCCTCGTCCAAATTATTTAATCGTTTCGCTCATTTCGCCGGCCCGTAATTGCCTCGCCGCTTGGGGGCCGCGTTGAGGCCTCTTGGGGGCCTCTGGGAGGCAGTTTTTGTTTTTTAACGACGACCGCCCTTGAAGCAACATTTTTACATGCTGAGTTGGTCCTTTGGGAGGCAGTTTTGAGGCCTCTTTGGGGTCAAGTTTGAGCCTATTGGGGGCCTCTCGGGGTGCCTCTTGGGGGCTTCTTGGGCCTCTTGGAGGAGTGCCTCTTGCGAGCCCATTGGGGGCCTCTTGCGGGTTGCCTCTCGGGGTGCCTCTTGCGAGCCCATTGGGGGCCTCTTTCGAGCCCATTGGGGGCCTCTTGGTTTCTCGGAGGGCCTCTCGGGGTGCCTCTTGCGAGCCCATTGGGGCCTCTTGGGGGCTTCTTGGGGCCTCCTGAAATTTGGGGCCACTTGGGGGCCTCTTGGGGCCTCTTGGAGGATCTCGAGACTGCTGAGGAAGAGGTGAGGGTACACCGCGCAGCAAACAGGCTGGCCAGCCCCACAGGCCAGTCCTCGGAGCACATCATTGAAAGTGCAAGCGGCTAGCTGGGTGATCCAGTCTGGAGCGCATGCACACCCAAGGCAGCGCAGGACTTTCACGCCCATAGTTCACCAGCTAGCTGCAAGAAGTCCACACAAGATATATTGTGGTGCCCCAAACAGGCCGCCGACGAGAGCATTGAGGGAGAGAAAGAGAAGAAGAGGCGAGGGAAGGAAGGAGAGAGGGAACAGAGGGGGGAGGGTAGAAGAGAAAGGCAGATGAGAGGAGTGCAGAAGAGGCCCCAGAGGGAGGAGGAGGAGGAGGAAGAGGAGGAGGAGGAGGAGGAGGAGGAGCTGGAGGAGCTGGAGGACGACGAGGAAGAGGTGGTAGCTGTATGCTATCGTCCAAGCCTGACATATGCATGAAAATGCGGATGCATGCAGTCGCGACACAGTCGCGACATTGCCACCTCGAGCTCGAGCTCATGACTCCTCCTTGCCATCCGTGGCATGGAGGTCGGCAGCGGCGTCGACGCCATCCGCCGTGTCGAGCTGCGCCTCCGCAGCCCTCATCTTGGCCTCGAGCTGCCCGTCAAAGACAGACGTCGGCTTCTTGATGTTCTCGCCGAGGATCCTCCGGGCCTCTAGCAAGTCCTCGTTGAGTGAATCAGAATCACCTTTGATGGAGTGGAACTTCTCGACCACGTCCGACAAGGTTGGTCGGTCGCCTTGCAGCAGCTCGTGGAAGGTAGCAAGAGCAGACGTCACCTTGGGCTCGCTGATCTTGATCGCATCAATCACCGACTGCTTGAACTTATTCTGGCAGGTATCCAGCGCCTTGAGCACCCGGTTGATGGCCGAAATGTCAGCCGACAACTTGTTGATCACCACCGTAGTCAGAGAACGTGGGGAAAGGTTGGCAGGCTTCTTGGCAGCCTTAGGAGCCGACTTGGCCTTGGCCTTGGCTTTGGCCCGCGTCGGGCCCGAGTCATTCTCGGCGTGGGGCTTCTCATCCTTCTCGATGCCTCGACCTAAGCTCCTCACCATATCTGCTGCCATCCCAGCATTCATCTCATCAACGTGGCCCGTCAGAGTCGCGCTGGTCTGGCGAGCAACCTCGTCCTTGTTGCCCTCGATGTTGGCGAGTGGAACGTAGTAGATGTTGAACCTCTTGTCCCGCTTGTGCTTGGCGTCATCGCTGCACCTCTGCTTGGCGTGCTTCAGCATGTCGTTGCAAAACTGCATCGTCTCCTCACTCGCGTGGGCATGGTACATCGCATACACTTGAAACTTAGTTGCCCATATCATGGTCTTCTCCCTGTAGACCGACTTCGTCCTGGTGTGCCTCTCCTGGATGACCATGACCGCGCAGCTCGTATCCTGCACATACGCCTGTAGAAAGGCGAATTTGCTGGCGTTCTTCTTGGAGTCAGCCTCCCACTTGGCCACGATCTCTGACGGGATATTCGGGCGACTGAGCGCCCGTGAGATTGCAGAGTGCAATTTCTTCCGCAAGGCCACGTCCACGTCACCAGGCACGACCGCTGCCAAGATCTGCTCCTTGACCTGAGAGGCCCAGTGGAGGTGGAGGAGAAGGAAGAAGTGGAGGTGGAGGATGTGTGGTTGGTGTGGTTAGTGCCCACGCCCGACGTCGTCGGGCACGATGTACGTCTTTCCCTTGATGCCAGCATCACGCACGTCCGCCTCGACCGCCACCGCGTCAGCGCCCCGCGCAGCACGAGGCCCGTCATCTGCGACTCCAGCTGCATGAGCTTCGTCGGCACGGGCGTCATCGCATGGCTGGTCCGTGAGCTGATCCTCGGGCGCCGGCGCCTGGAGATCGTGGGCGGCGGCGGCGGTTGATGGCGCGGGCTTGGACGGCTCTGGGAGCGCACATCCTGGTCCGACCTTCCAGCCAGACTTGATGGCCTCGAACGTATCCTCTGGCACAGTCTGAGTGGCTATGTCATCTGAGGACTCCAACATCATTGGGGAGATACTCGGCACCATCTTGGCCCGTTGCGGCGGAGTGACGTATGCTGACCCCGCAGACGACGGGGCTGGCGAACACACTGGTACACATGCTGACCTTGCCGACGACGGGGCTGAGGAACACACTGGTACACATGCTGACCCTGCAGACGACGGGGCTGGCGAACACGATGGAGTAGCACCCTTAAGGTGACCGAATCTAAAAAACAAGAGGTGGACTGATAAGTCAATTCACTCGTAACCCAACTCATTGGGCACGGATGAGTTAACACTTAGCCGTCCACCCATTGTGGTTTAGTGCGGTGACCTTCCGCTTCTTGGGGAACCCAGCCTTCACTGCAGTGGGCGACGCTTGGACTGGAGTGAGAGGGCCAGCTGCATCCAACATGAGCTCCTCGATCTTAGGCTCGACCAGAGGGCGGACGATTGATGCTTGAATCTCCTGAAGCGAATCCTGCTGCTGCATCTCGTCGTCCATGGCAATCTCTGGCTTGCGCGAAGGGCGGGGGGCACAGGCTTTCGCTCTCTTGACGGGCGGAGCGCCCATGGCGCGCATCTTCGCGTAGAGATCCATACTGGGCGAGGTGAACAGTCGATGCCAGCAACGCTGGAGGAGCCACAACGGCTGTGTCTGTCCGAAATGGCCGACGACCGCAACGTCAAAATCTGAGCGCCTGGGCCGTTCAAAATACCCGGTAAATACACGAAAAATACACGGTCGGATATTGCATTTTCCCTGTGTTTTTACAGTAGGTATCGCAAACGTGTATTACACGGTCTGCAAAATGCACGAAAAATACACGGTCCCAAACTTGAGCGTTTCTCTGTTTGATTGCAGGGAATTCGCTGTCAAGCTATAGAATTGGCAGTCAGGCAGCTCCACATCCAAACGAAGCAACCCACGTGGAGAGACACGCACAGACTTTAGGGCCCAGGAGGCCGTGGAGACGTACTACTACTACTACTACTACTACTATTACTACTACTACTACTGCTACTACTACTGTATACCACTACTACTACTGCTGCTACTACTACTAATACTACTACTACTACTACTACTACTACTGCTGCTGCTGCTACTACTACAACTACTACTACCACTACTACTACTACTACCACCACCACTACTACTGCTACTACTACTACTACTACTACTACTACTACTACTACTAGTACTACTACTACTACTACTACTTCTACTACTACTACTACCACTACTACTACTACTACTACTACTACTACTACTACCACTTCTACTACTAGTATCACTACGCCTAGTACTCCTACTACTACTACTCATATTATTATTATTACTACTACTACCACTACTGCTACTATACTACTACTACTACTACTACTACTACTCCTACTACTTCTTCTACTGCTGTACTACTACTACTACTACTACTACTACTACTACTACTACTACTACTGCGACTACTACTACTACTACTACTACTACTACTACTACTACTACATCTGGGCATCGCAGGGTGCGGGCACGCACGGCCGGCCTGCGCAGTGAAGAAGTTCACCACGTAAACGGATCGGGGGGCGGGGGCCGCGACCGTGGCGGCAGCAGCAGCAGCACAGCAGCAGCTGAGCGTCCTGCGAACGAATCGAACGAGGCGTCACGGCCGCCACCCTGCGACCGAATCGAAAAGGAACGAGGCGTCACGGCCGCCACCCTGCGACCGAATCGAAAAGGAACGAGGCGTCACGGCCGCCACCCTGCGAGGGAATTGGAAAAGGTTGAGAGGAAGGAGGTGGAGGAGGACAAACACAAGGACAAGTAAGGGGATGGAGGATAAGGAGGGGAGGATAAGGAGGGAGGAGGAGCAGTGTTGCTAAGCTAGCACTCGCACCCCATCAAACAAGATTCTCTGCACGTAGCAGCGCCCAGGTCCGAGGGCCATGATCCACCACGAACCCTCACATTCGAAGCAAAAGCGAGATGTGCTGACATTGATCGCAACACCATCTCCTGAAACTAGGCTGCTTGCATCAACGGGCACCGTGTGGCTTGAGAGATCCCTTAAGTGTATCTAGTTGATATGAGTTCCCTTGTGCATAGATTGTCCTTATGTGTGCTTCCCTTGTGAATACAGTTGCCCTTATGCATATTAGCACTATATATATATGTATCATGATGTGCCCTTGTGTAGTTTATACATGTATGTGCCATGTATGCATCATATGTATCAGTATGCATCGTATCAGTATGTATGCCTATCTACCAGATGCGCATCTTTATTCGTATATGTTCATATCCTCACGTACCAGTATCTTTATAGTTCCTATATGTATCCGATATGGTTCATACCTTTATGTGTCCTGTGTGTGCACGTATGTATAGTTTCCTGTCTTGATGTCATTATCAAATATGTATATCCATGTTTAGCCAGTATGTCTTAAGTTGGGTTCAAAGTTGACCCCTCAAGTATGAGCTGGCAGGGCCCCCGGCTTTACAAGGAATCGATGTTCTTCATCTCTCTCTCTCTCTCTATATATATATGCATATGTGTGTGTGTCCAATGTCCTTATATCTAGTTGGTGCACCTCCACCCCTCATGTCCATCATGGGGCCATCATATGTACCACCAGTGTCGATGTCAGGATGTGGCTGACGTGAGCCAACACGCGGCAATTGAAAATCCAGCAGGCAAAGACTCGCACTGCCACGAGGCCACGTGCAACGCGCACGCTGCGACAGCGTGCGCACCCAGAAGCGAAAGGTCACTTTGAAACGATCCACGCCTCAAAGTCTGCAAAACACTCCCCATCATCTATCTCAATGTCAAGCTTAAGCTCTAAGAGAAACTCCAAAGTCCAGGCGGGCTCCTGGCGCTTGTAGATCCCCTCGTAAGTAGCATGGAAGATTAGCCCGATAGCAGCTCCAAACCCAAAGGGGTACTCGGCAGAGCCCTTCAGGCCAGGCCCACCCGACGCGCGTTTCTTCCCGTCGGTCCCCACGACAGATGTTGTGGTAGGGGGGGGGGTTCTCTAACGCCATCACCTCCCGGTCAAACTCGTCAACTTTCTTCTCGAGCCGTTCGAGGCCTGGAGGTCAGGATAGCGCCCATCTACTTTTGGAGGGAGGGGGCGTGCACCCGATGATGGGCACGAGGGAGACGTGGGGATGGGGACGTACAGGAATTGGGCGAGGTGGGGGAGAAGGGAAGTCAGTAGAATAACTGGGCAACCCATTCCATGTTCCCACTGCCCGGGACCAGGCAAGTCGCCCTTGAAGACGAGCCCCTTCCTCGTCGGTGCACCGTACGCCCCCATGTCAGCCTTTGCAGACCTGGCAGATATGTACTTGAGCATTCTTTGCACAGGCACCATGTTCCAAAGGATTGAGCTTGCGGGCTGCTCGATCACCACATGGGTGCCGAGGGCGGAGGCGAGCGCAGCCAAATAAGTCATGCGCGTGGCGAGGGCGTTAGCTTGCTCCGTGCACGCTGACCCCATCCCTTCTGGACGCTCAACGCTTCTCTGCGTTGACCCCCTGGACGCCCACACCCACGCCCCGCATGGGGGTGCCATGAAGAGCAAGCCCCCCGCCTTCATGGCGAGCAGGGCGTGCAAACATAAAAGGAATCCGTGTGGCGTGCTAAAGTCGCGCCGAAGATCTTCTTCAATCTCAACTGAAATGCCATGATATCCGAAGTGGGCAATACCCCGGGACACAGCTTTTTACCACTGAATATTTCCATGAAGTCGTGGGTCCTAGGAGGTAAATCAAACGATCGCCCCGGTCCGAGGCGCGCTGCCGCCATGAGAAGAGGGGGCAAAACTTGGTGGGCAAGCATTCTGGGGATCGCACGACCCCGCAACAACCGTGAATCTTGGTCCGAAACGGCACTGGTGCAAGCACGTACGCTTCCACATGTTCTCCTGCATTGTCCACGGGGGGAGATCGAGGAGGAGGAGGAGGAGAAGGAAGAGTTGAGTCTCCACAGCTTGCACCCCGCCGAACGATCGCTGCACGCAGCAGCACTGAGATCTGAGGCGCCACGGACCCTCGAAAGCAAACGCCGTGCTTACAACGCGGCCCACTTGAAACTGGGCTGCACACGTCGCGCTGCATGCTTCAGCAGTTGGGGAGGAGGGCAAGGGAGGAGAAGGAGGCGAATGCAGAGGTATGAGGGGGATAAGAGGATGAGAAGTTCTGCACAGTCAAAGCTGGCAACCAATCAAAACGCAGCGGCCTATGCGTCCGCCGGCCACTTGGCAAACTCTTCCGCCTTCGCGAAGGCCTGCACAGGGCCGCCGCGATGGCCCCAGGTGATGCGGCGGGCGGCTATGTCCTCGCCCCCAACAATATAATAATGAGGCGTTTTGGCAAGCGAAATATTGCACTGAATACGGGCTGCCTTCTCATCGTCGATTCTCAACGTCCACGATTGGCTCTTGGGACCCGCCCAGCACTTCAGCACATCCTCGGGGAGCAGGGGGAGGAGCTCGAGGTTCGGGCCCTTCTTGGCCTGCTTGGCTGGCTTCTCGGGCGCGCCCCCCTCGGACATCTGCGTCGTGTCCGCTGGCTTCTCGGGCGCAGGCGTCTTCTCGGACATCTTGGCCTTCTTGGCTGGCTTCTCGGGCGCGGGAGCCTTCTCGGACATCTTGGCTTTCTTCTTGGCTGGCTTCTCGGGCGCAGGCTCCTCGGACATCTTGCTCACAGCTGGCTTCGACTGCGCCTTCGCCTTCCTCAACTCCGCAGCGCTCAACCAGCCATCGGGGAGCTCATGCGTCGGATCTCCGCGGCGTCGGCCTGCGCCCCCGCAACCTCTCGGAGAGGAAAAGAGAGATGAGCAACGCAGTGAGCTAAGATGCCGAGAAGGAGCGAGGAAGGAAGAGGTTGATGAGGGGGGCACCGGCTTCCAGCCGAGGAAAGAGTTCCCTGGGCCGAAGCACATCACCATCTGCGAGGATAATACAGATAAGGAGGAAGACGACGCGGAGGGGGAGCAGAGGAGGTGGAGGAAGGGGGGGAGGGGGGAGGTGGGGGGAGAGGTGGGCGATGAGAAGTTTGGGGGCGATGGCAGAAGAGGACTGCATTTGACCATGAATGAAGTCAAATTCGGGACGAGGAGGCCGAGGCGTGAGGAGAAGGGGCGACGGGTACGAGGATAATAGGCGTGACCATGAGGAAGGGTGACGTTTTGGAGCAGGAGGAGGGTAGAAGGAGATCTGGAAGGAGAGCTGGAAGAGGAGGTCGAGGAAGAACAGGGCGCGAGCCTTCACACGATGAGTCGGGGTGGGTCAGCCTAAAATTCTTGCAAGTCACCCTCCTGGGAGCAGGGGCGGTGGCATTGAGCAAGGAGGGGGCGGAAAGGGAGGGGACAGAGGATGAGAGGGAATATGTGGGAGTAGAGAGAGATGAGGCCTCGCCCAAGAAGTCTTCGTGAAGGAAGTGCATCGGGAGATGCAGCATTCCATCCTTTTGGAGGAGAGGTAGGAGGAGGAGGATGAGGAGGCGGAGTAAGAAAAAGGATAACATGTAGGAAGAGGGTGCAGGACGAGGACCAGGATAAGGACGGGGATGAGGAGGTCCAGGAGGAGGGGGAGGATGAGTGGTGCACAGTATTATCAAATATAGTCCTGGGGATTCGCCTGTTCGGTGGCACTGTCGTGCAGCTCGTGGTCGCCGGGGCCGGGCATGGTGTCGGACTCCCCGCACAGCACGTGGAAGACGATATGCGGGGTCACGGTGATCTCCTGGCCAGGCTCGAGTGGGGTGTCGCAGATGTGGCACTTCGCGTCCGGGTCCTTCTGAGGCGTTCGCGTTTCGATCGCGACTCGCCCAGGGCAAGGGCAGCCCTTGTCCTGGGTGAGTGGCGATCGAAACGCGACGAGGACTGGGGCCGAGGAGGGGAGGAGGAGGTGGCGGAGCAAGATGGGCAGGAAAGAAAGGAGGGGCACCGATCGAGAGGTTGAGATCACGAGGGACGGTTGGCAGAGAAGGGATAGGGAGGATGGGATCAGGAGGCACTGCGAGGATAATGAACTTAGGTGGGGAGGTGGTTGAAACGGCGGTTTACTCGCCAAGTCCTCAGCGAGCACGTGGTCGCTCATGCAGATGAGGGGCGGGCGGCCTTCGAAGTCATCATCATCTTTCGCCTCGCAGTCCGAGACGATCTCGATCGCAGCTGGCTCGCTCGGCAAATCGGCCTCTGCCTTGTTGTATGCTGGGGTGGGTGGTGGCTCGGAGTCGTCGTCGGGGTCGGGCATCTCAGCCTGAGGGGAAGGCGGTTGCTCGTTGCCCCGAGGTGTTCGTCGCTTTTCTGAGTTTCGGCAGGTCTGTTAAAACAAGCGGCCCGAAACTTCGAAAGACCACGGACACCACAGGGTAATGAGCAGGAGGGATAGGAAGAAAACAAGAGTGGGAATTGCTGATTAAAGAAGTTCAGGATCAGCAGCCTCGCGATCCAAGATCTCTGAGTCCGAAGAGCCGATCTCGTCCGACTTGGGCTTCTTGGGCTTGCCAACCGACTGCTTCTGGATGCGGGTCTCGGGATCGATCGACAACTGGCTCACATCGACCGATTGTTTTCGTTTCTCCTGTTTGCGCCAGCGGCAGTATATGGTCTTCCCTATCTTGGCCTGCGTGGTCACCCAGGCCTTGTACTCTGTTTTGCTAGCGTTGGCAGCCTCGCCCGAAATACGTTTCATGAAATGCCCATCCACCATCATCACGTAGCCCTTGAAGTTTAGAAGGGCGGGATTGGGGTTCTCGCCGACCGTGGTCTGGATCGCGTCCAGGTGGGCGGTGTTGTCTCTCGCGTGAAAACTGCCAGTGGAACCACGAGAAATAAATATGCGATGTTGCAGTTCCATCTCGTGCAGTAGGTTCGTCAACATTTCATTCTTCAAGATATTCTGGAGCATTGGATCCATACAAGAGAGTAACAGAAGAGCCCGATATAACATGCAGGTGCTCCAGCTCAATGCTTGAGTCTGAAACGTTATGGGGAAGAGTTGTGAGGGAGGAAACGTTCCGAGAATCATTGGGGCCCTCAGAACTGGAGCCTGTACAGGAACTCTTTCTCAGAATCGAGCGAGTCGGCTGGGGTCTTGGGAAACGAGCGACAGACTCTGGGTCCATTGAGCCGACCTGTGGAGTCGCCAGGCGTTTGCCTGTGCATTCGTGGCCTCTTGGGGTCCTCTGGGGGGCCTTTTGGGGGCCTCTTGGAGCCCCACCTGCTGGCCAGAGAGAGCACACGAATGGGCATATGGTTGAATTGAAAAATATGTATATTTGTATTTAGTTATATATAATGACATATCGATAGACGAAGAAACATATATATATATATATATATATATATATATACAAAGTGGCAGCCGCTTATCCGACACACGCGAGAGGCCGCGATCGAATACTTCGGGCCGCAAGACTGAGGGACGAGGGGTACGTGGCATGCGGCTCCACGCCATGCCATCTGCCCTCCGCCTGGCGAGTATAACTATGCAGTTTGATACTTATATATGTATGTATATGCACGTACGTACGTATAGTATGTGTGTATGTACGTGTCAAGTTATAATATATATATATATATACAGAAATGCGAACACGCGTTCACCACCCACACGTTTTTGTTTTGTGTCAACGGCGACGTGGGACGAGAGGGGTCGGGCAGCACGTATACGCGCACACTTTTCTTTTTGGTTTTTAACATGCATAGAAAGCGGACATGGACAATCGCAAGCAAAACCCGCGGCGTAGACGAAACACATCTAAACGAAACGGGCACCCACGCACGCATGCCCGCGGGCACGCGCGCCCATGCACAAAAAAAGAGCGCACACCTAGGTCCGCGCAACAAGGCGGCGCGCGCGAACTAAGTTACATGAGCGGGCAAGCAACCAAAGGGAACCAGCAACCCAGTGCAAACAGATAGACCCAGCAGTCGCAACAAGCTTCGGCACGTCTGCCATCGGGCCTTGACCACTTTGGGCCAATCGGCGCCCTCCTCCATCTGGACGCGGCGTGCCTGGACTCGTGCTGCGCCAGCCACGCGCAGCGCGCGCAAACCAATTTCACCCTGCCAAACGTATAAAGATCATTGATCTGGATTGGATTTCACGGATTCACGCAAATATGCGCCGACGCCGGCACATCATCGTTGTCAAGCCGGCACAACCCCAGATTTTTGACAAACCCCCGGATTGTGACACTTCGGGGCCACCGAAAACCAACCGCTCGCCAGGGACCCTGCTCGCGGCTGCAGTAAGATCTGACTCCAACACACGCCCGGTGGGGGCGCTCGCGGCCTGGCTCGCGGAATACGAGTGGGACGGCAACGACTTGACACCCCAGCAGGCTGCCCTTTGGCTGAGGAGGTGGGACAACGACGCCGCGCAGAGACGCGCCGCCCGCCTCACTCCCGCGCAAAGGGGGCCCGGGGTCGAGCGCCCCGCCCTCGCTTCCCACTACCGGACGGGTCGAGAAATTTTCGTCAGGACAC